AGGTTGCAATCCCGTTGCCGGTCCCCAGTCCGGTACGGGGGCAACACTGAGGGTTGCGATCCGTTGCCGGACACGGGAAAAGACAAAAAAAAAAAAAACAGGTAGACAATAGTGAGCCCCAACACTGCCTAATTCCAGCACCCAGCGCAACACCTGGTGAGTAGTAGCCTTCAATAAATCAGTAGTAAATGGACCGAGGTTAGTAAGAATTCTTTTATTGTGATAAACCCACTCCCACATTTGTGGCCTTTCTCCCAAACGCAGTCAGCTACTCCTTTCTCTGGCCAGAGAATCCCATAAGGAAATCGCTTCCACAGCTAGGGCTGCTCTGCTCATAGAGGAAGGGAAGACTGGGCTGTGGGTTTAGGAGCAGAAGAATAGGGAGGGGCTGAGGAGGCTGCAGTGTCCCCTGTGAGCCGAGGGGAGGCGCTGGCTCCTCGGGAACAGGCTGAGGACAAAAGGTGGCTACAGAGTAGTGGTCCCAGTTCCTTTCTGGAGTTGCTGGCTCTCAAGATGTCAGAGCAGGGGCTGAGGCTGGGATAGCAGTCCCCACCAGGCCGGTTTTCCAGGGACAAAGCCTCTTCCGCTATCTCTGCTGCCCTCTGAGGGATGCAGAAGCCATACGGAATGGAGCTGTAAATATGTCTAACCTCCAGCCCTCAGCCAGGAGTTCCCCAGCCCCAGGAGAGGAAGAGCCTTTAGAAATTAAGAGCTGCTTGGTCATTTAACAAGGTAGGAATTTGGGCTCTGAGATACATTCAGTCACAAGGGGAAAGAAGTGTTCCTGAAGCCCAGGGCTGCCAGTTTCCAGCTCAGAACTCTTCCCATCCCAACATACTGCTTCCTGATCTGAGGGCTTACCTGATCCAGGGGCTCCTCTGTCTGGGTGTCTACATCATCTGCTACTTCTTGGGCCCCTGCAGTCTCCCTCCTTGGGAGACTCCCATATACTCCCGTACCTCCTAATGACAGAGGCAACATTGGCTGGTGCCCAGGCTGAGAAGCCTTTGGCATTCTTTCCCTTGACCTTCTCTCCCAGCCACTTCCCCTCTCCTGAGCCTTGTTCCACATTCTCCACTATCGCAGTGGATGGCGGGAAGTTGAGAGATGGGCCTTTGGCCCCCAGCCTTATCCCTTCTAAATCCCACCCCTGAAGTCTCATTGCTTTGAGTTAAACATTGCTCTTTCTATGTGCTTCTTTTCATGCGCCAAGTCCCTATGAAGAAGCAAGGGACTGGATATGCAGATGGGGGAGTAGGAGACAGTTATAGTGAGGTCAGGGCCAGCTGCATGCCTGGGCATTCTACCCCCACGGACATCCCCAACAACAGGAGGAACCATCCTCTGTCACTGTGAAAGGGTGGTTAAGAAGGACCTGGGCCCCAGGGGCCCCTTACCTGATGGAAATGAGAGTGTGGGGAGCTTGCTTCTTGGATGGATGGTCTGCTGAGGTCTGGCATAGAAAGCAGATGGTTCAATTTGGCTGGGTTCCTTTGGAGAGGAGTGGGATGCCTGTACTCTGTGGCCTTGGGCCTGTAAAAGGGAAAGTGGGTTTGGACCCCGGTTGCTGGCTGTTCTTACCTTTCCTACTCTGCAGTCCATGCTTCAAAGTGCCCTGATGTTTCTGAGAGCTTGGGAGAGGAGATGCCATCCATCTTCACTACCTGCATCCTCCCTTCCTGCTACCTCTTCCCACCAGGCTGCCTTATCCAGGGACAGAATAGCTGGTGCCTGGCACTCGAAGATGACCCACAAAACCAGACTGTGCTCCCTGAACCACCTTTCCCCATACCCCATGCTCACTGGCTCATCTCTCAGAAGGGCTCAGGACTGGAATAGGATGAGGAACTGAAAAGTTCCCTTGGACCCTGCTATGCCATGTATGCCAGTTCTCTCTCCCAGCATCCAACCTAGCAAGAAGACATAAAGTCCTTCAACTCAGTCTGAAGATCAGAGTTCTTGTCTGGCCCCTGCTACTCAATAACTGTGTCACTCTTTTGAGCTTCAGTTTCCACCTCTGGAAAATGAGGATAATCTCTGTTTCACAAGATTTTTGAAAAGAGGCAGTGAGATAAGGTCAGAGCCTGAGCCAGAAGAGCTGTCAGCCCATCACTTTCCTTCCTTCCCACCCCCCTTGGCCCCCTGCATCACCTACCCCCTGCCTGTGCAGCCTAGACTTCGGGCCTGGAGGATGCCTGCAATGAAAAAAAGAAAGGCTTGTAGTGGGCAGAGGAGGACCTGGAGTCAAAACACACAGACCAGAGGGTGGCGTCTTCTGCTCCAACTAGTTACCCCTCCACCTCTCACATACATACCAGCAGCCCCTGGGCAGGGAGGGGCTAGGCACTAGCAGCTCCAGATAGGGGAGGGCCTTGAACTCATCCTCTCCAACAGCCACATAGTAATGGCCGTTCACCAGAGCCTCAGCTGCTGACAGGGGGAGACCCTCCAGGTTGCAGAGTCTGGGACAGAGAGGGGAGCAGGATAAGAGCCGGTGGACAAGAGCCTCTTCGTATTCAGCAGATTGTGAGGGGGTGGGTACAGCTACTACAAGTACCCTCTGACCTCTTGCCCTCTGGGCACCAGTCACCTAGGCTCTACCCTGGCTCTGAGGGGCATTTTCCTGTGGCATAGGAGGAGAGATCCCACTTGGAGAAACATGCTTTTGTTTTTGCCTTTTCATTTTCAGGAACAGCTGAAACCAGTGGGGAGACTCTCTTTGGGGACTTTTGGGCCTCCCCAGTCCCCATACTCACTTGCACACAGGCCCACTCTGCAACTTGGCCTTCTCAGTCAGGAGCTTCAACACAGTTTCCCAGTCCTGGCTGGCAGCCTGTGGCAACTTCATACCAAATGGGGGACTTAACAGGTCCCCATTCCTGAACACACTGAGAGAAAGCAGCCTGGTAAGGGGGGGTGGGTCCCCAGGACTCCCTACCCATGAGAGGAAGAAGGGTGGCACAGGGGCCAGATGATCTGAACCATTGCACTGGTCCATTTTCTTTTCTTTTCTTTTTTTTTAAAAAAAGATGACCGGTAAGGGGATCTTAACCCTTGACTTGGTGTTGTCAGCACCACGCTCAGCCAGTGAGCGAACCGGCCATCCCTATGTGGGATCCGAACCTGGGGCCTTGGTGTTATCAGCACCGCACTCAACCGAGTGAGCCACGGGCCGGCCCTGCACTGGTCCATTTTCAACCATCAAGCATGTTAGACTTTTTCTGTTCCCATTGGTAATCAGGGGCTCCTGGAACAAACACCCCCATTTACTTGGTCTCACTGAAACAATCTGTACCCTTGTTCCCCCAACACTGGCACTCACTGGATATAGCAGGGGGTACCTGCAGGCAGCCAATGTCCGAGGGCCCCATCACATGGGTGGCGAGTCACAGGAGGACCCTGAAACCCAAGTAAGTCCCCCAAATCAAAAAAAAGTTGAGGCCTTTGGTTAGGAGTGGGTCAGTCTAAGTGTGTAGGGTGAAGGGGCAGGAAACAGAATGGGGTAGGAGAAGGAGCAAGGAGGGATGAGACTAGTCACACCTTTTTTTTTTTTTTTTTTTATGATGACCGGTAAGGGGATCTTAACCCTTGACTTGGTGTTGTCAGCACCACACTCAGCCAGTGAGCGAACCAGCCATCCCTATGTGGGATCCGAACCCGGGGCCTTGGTGTTATCAGCACCGGACTCTACCGAGTGAGCCACGGGTCGGCCCTAGTCACACCTTTTAACAAAGGGTGCTTCTACGTCCCCTAAGTCACATTCTAAGCACCCCCTGTCCCAGTCTGTGTTTCACAGCTTCCTCTTTCCTCTGGGGACCATAGCGTGGAGATAAAGTGAAAGGCTAGGACAGAAGCAAGGGATAGTTATCTTGAAATCCTGCACCCCAGGAAGAACAGCAGCTGGCTCCAGAGTGGGTATGGAGAGAGACCCCCATAGAACTGGCAGATCCTTCTGCTTTCAGGGCCCCTGACTTCTCAGACCAAATTGGGGCAATCCCAGGAGTGGAAGACAGAGGGGCTGGGTGACAGCCTCCCTCAAGACTCACTTGTAGTCTGTCGCTCTTCCCACCTGGATCCTTTCCTCCAGGGAGTAAATAGCTGAAAGGAGAGATAGGTCACAGGTCATCTTGAGGAGCCTGAGGCCACAACAGCCTAGTAGTATGGAGCTGGGGCCCCACTCAAGATATCCTTCCCCATTGGAACAGTCTCAGTCATGTCAGACCAGAAACAGATACTGGCACTTGAACCTGCCTTAGGATTCCTCAAGTGCTGGGTCAGGCTGGAAATCCAGACTGGGGTCTCAGATATAAACCATAAAATTAAAGATTGAGAGAAACTACTGCATCAAGCATCCTACTATATCCCAGGAATTTTCTCATTCATGAAGTAGTGGTTTTATCCTCATTTTTGTATGAGTCTCAAAGAAGTTATGTGACTTTCCAAGGTCATACAGGAAGTAAGTGACTGAACCCAGATTCTAAGTCTATCTAGCTCCTGACCCCTTGCTCCTTACATCATAGTAAGCAACCTCAGCTGAGAGCTAAGAGTAGGACTCAGAAGCCAGATATGAATTGGAAGCTTAGATACTCAAATTCTTCTCTTACCTTGGAAGATAGCCCCAACTTGCAAAGGAGGATGATCCTAGCCTAATGGCAGAGTTTGGGTTGCCTAAATACAGCAGTGAGGAAGTAATGAATGGATTTAGAGCATTTGTTGACAATGGTGGTAGGGGATCTCATCAAGAAGAGCTTTTGGGAAAAGGGGCTCATCCTGTAAGAGAATGGTCTCCTCTCCACAGGCTGGTCCTGGCTGTGATGGACATTAGTATTAGTACCAAATGGAATTCGATTTGAACTGCAGCTCAACTACTTGTTGCTTGCGTACTCTTTGGCAGGTTTTCACTGTTTTTTTTGTTTTGTTTTTTAAAAGATGACTGGTAATGGGATCTCAACCCTTGGCTTGGTGTTGTCAGCACCACACTCAGCCAGCGAGTGAACCGGCCATCCCTATATAGGATCCGAACCCATGGCCTTGGTGTTATCAGCACCACACTCTCCCAAGTGAGCCACAGGTTTTCACTGTTTTGTCCTCCTAACTAATGGAGATAAAAACCACCCCTCCACCGGGTTAACTGAAAAAATGTATAAAGTGCCTGGTACATACGTAGTAAGTACTGAATACATGCTTACTGCTGCTGCTACTGCCTCCCTCCCTGAGCTCTCTGACCAGCCCCAGCCCACTCACTGGAGCTTGTGGAATCGTTCAAAGCCAGCAGCCACATACTGTCCTCCATTCTGCAGGTCTGCCAAGTCGGTGACAGGGTGGCCATGACAAGGCGTGTACAGGGCACGCACAGCCAGTGGGGCCTGCACAGCTGATGTCACCTCACAGAGGAAGGCCTCCATGGTGGGGAAGCGGCGTTGAGTCACCACCAGCTGGTGGCCTGGGGAGAACGGGTCCCCATTCCGGTAGACCACTATCCTCTTGGCCACTGGACTGCTACCCGCCATAGTGTGTCCTCAGTCAGACGCGGAGCTGTTGCCAGGCAACAGCTCTTAGTTGAGGCAAGGCTGGGAGCAGTGCCAACAGAGGTGGAGTCCTGCCCTCTCACTCAGGAGGGCAGAGAGGGAGAGCTTCTGGCAGGAGCATTTATCTGCATTCTGGGTCTCATCCAATCTGCCCTTGATGGGGCCTCACAAGAGTAGGAAGGTATGATCACTATAGGAAGGAAGACCCTAGGGTTCAGAGAGAAAAGTGGCAGAGATCACACGTAAACACTGATTTCCAATACTTTACAGAGCCTCCTTGCCACTCTGAAGCCCAATGGCTGAACTCAAAGGAGGATCAGCTTTGGAGGCTGTTCCTAAGGAGGATGGCTAAATGCCCCATTCCAGTAGGAAGTGAACAAGACCCCAAGTCTGTCCTGGACAGAGGCAGAAGATGAAAGCAGTCACACTCAGAATCCAAGAAAAACTTTTATTCTCCATCAGGCCTCCTCCCATTCTACTTCTCCATGGTAACTCCTTATCCTGAAATTTGGATCGAGCCACAGGCAGATCCGTCTCACTCCTCTCCCTATGTTCGTGCCAGCTCTCTGCCCCAGCTTCCCTTGGTCTCAATAGCTGCCAATGGCCAGGGGCAGGAGCAGGAGGTAGAGCTGGTAACAGGGAGGTAGAATGAGGTCCAGTTTTCCTCATCACCCTTTCATAGCATCCCTCTTGGAACTTGGTCCTCCCCTGGCTCCCCAGGGTCTAACCTGGTGGTCCTGTTTTCCATGGCCTGCCCCTCCACTGGTCCTCTCATGTATGGTCTGACCCTGTGGAAGACAGATTCTCAGGCAGCCTTGATCTCCATGGTATAGTCCTCTCATTTTTACATTCTTCATGACTAGGTTCATTGGAGGTTCCATCTCTGGAGCTTCTATCACTGCAGCTGTGGCCCTTGGGTGGTTTAGTCCTCCAGAGATCCAGGCCTCCATACTCTGGCCTTGCCATGGTCCCATCCCAGATGATGTGGTCTTCTGAAAGGCCCAACTCTTGTGGCCTGGTTCTTTGGCAGTTGGGCTCTTTGTGGTCTGGCCCTCTGAGAGACTTGTCCTCAATATTTGGGTCCTCACAGAGTGTGGGCAGCTGTGTCTTGGCCTTGCTAGAACAGTGGCCCCTAAGTTTGAGGTTTTTGGAGGTCTGGTCCTCCAGTTTTTTCTGCTGCAGGCAGGTCCTTCCAAAGGTCTGTCCACCATGGTCTGGCCGTTTGTTGAACTTGTCCCCTATAGCCTGGCTATCTGGTGGTGTAGGCAGCTGTGGTCCAGCCCTCCTGTAGCATGGTTCCCTGCACTTAGCCCCAGCAGTGTTTTTTTCCATAGTGGCCAGACTTTCTGGGGATTTATGGAGTGATTTGACCCTCTGGCAGGAGTCATCATGGTGTCGCTCTTCAGTAGTCCTGTCTCTGTAGGACTGGTCAGCCAGTGGTGGACTTGGTTGTGACCAGGTACTCTCACAGGCCTGTCTCCCATGGTCTGGGCACATGCTGGGCTCGTCTCTGGTCTGGCCTGCCTCTGGGGATCTCATTGTTTGTTTGAGAATTAGGTACTGTTGGGGGAGAGAACAGACACTGTACCACGCAGGCCTGCTTGGGCATGCATGGCAGGAGGCCTCTCCCTAACTCCCACCCTTGGCCCTAAGTGTTCAGTAATAACTCCCAGTTAGTGCCTACCTCCTTACGGCTATTGATGGCCTGTTGCAGCCACAGCAGTTCCATGGCCAAGTGGCTGCGGTGGTATTGGAGCTCCTGGAGCTCAGGCTGGCTGTAGGGCAGTCCTGGACCTGTGACTTCTGTGAAGGAGGGAAGAAAGGAGAGAGAAAACCTTAAGGAGCAGACACTGAGAATTAGTCTAGCCTTAGACCTTGGCAACCCCCCACTGCCTACCCATGTGTTGCCCCCAATCAAACAGAGGAAAAAGAAAAGGGATGCAGCTTATCGAGCACAAGAGCCTTTCACTTTTCAGATGAGGAGGCTGAGGCCCAGAGAGGGTTAGGGGCTTGCCCTGATTTAGGCAGAGGTACCTGGGTTCTCCATCTTTGACATGGCTCTGGTCTCCTCTTGGTTGGGTTTCCTGGTTTGCCTGCTTTGCTTAACCCAAAGCCAAGGGCTGTCCTCTCTGCAAAGATGAGTTCCTGGGTTTGCTGAGCTCTCTCCTGACTTCTTCAGCACCATCTCTTCCCAGATGGTCTCTCTCTCAGACTCTTTACATGGGATATGGCTCCATAGTTCCTGCTCTGGATTTGGTATACTCTCTCCTGCTTTCCAGGTCCGATGTGACTTTGCCTTCTAAGAAATCAGTCAGAGAGGTTATGAGAACCCCAGGGCTAAACCCTTCCAAGTATCTGGCTGCTATGATCTAGCAGACAAGTTGGTGAGGATTAAAGATTGGAGTGTGAGGAGGTGAGTGCTCCATCTTCCAGTGAGACAAAGCTTGTCAATAGGAAGGTGGGTTCTACCATTCCTTTGACTTTGAATCCCCTGCCCAGGTCCTTCCTCTCCTTCCCTCCCCCCGCGGTATGTACTACCTTTGGGAGAAATCGCGGCCTGGGAATCCAGCCCTCAGTCCACTGAAGCGTGCCCAGGTCGCCCTCGATCTCTCGTACAATCGCCTCATACTCAGCTCGCAGTCTCTGGAACTGGCGTCGGACCAAGAAGCCTCGGCCGCAGGCCTGGTGAGGAGAACGAGAAGGAAGACTGTAAGAGAGGGGGCATCTCGGGGGATTCCCCTGGAGAGTTCATCCCCGTGACTGCAGGAGGGAGGATGCTGGACCGGCTGCCCTCCTCACGTGAAGGCCCTCCCCACTATTTCCCTGATCCCCGACGCGCGTGTGTTGGGAGTGGGGGCGCGTAGGGAAGGAAGTCCGCGGGTCCCAGCATTCTTCAGCGCGGGGGGAGGCCGGTATCTCCAGAGGTTGGCGCGCGGGTAGGGGATTGTACATCATAGCCTCATCTTGCTGGAAGGTCACAGTCCGAGACCCCACGATTTCCCCGTAGAGAAAGTTATGTGCACCCTCCGGCCGCCCCGCACCTGCAGCGCCGACACCTTGCGAAGCAACTGCTCCCGCTCCATCCGGGCACCAACGGCCCCGCCGGCCTGCCGCGCACCTGCGCAGTGCGTCGTTAGTGGGCCCCGCCCCTGAGCATGCGCAGGCAATGCGGCTCCTCCACCCCGCGCTGTCTCTACGGCGACTTCCTCTCATCCAGTTGGACGCGTCCTGGAGACTGGAGCACCCGCCCCCAACCCCTGCTCCCGGAGCCACACGGGGCTTTCCAGTCCCGGGTGAGCCGGACCTCCCAAACGAAAAGTGTGCCGCGCGGGGGTGTCTCCGTAGAGGTCGGGGGCCGTTGGCGCCCCCGCGGAGGAAAGACGCAAGAAGGGAGGACACGGAACAGCTTTCTTTCTTTCTGGTTTAATTCCATGCAGTGCCCCCCTCTCCCTTAGCACCTGGGGGGCCGCGGAACACCCTCCCGAGTCTGTAAAAAGTCCCAGTTTGAAGGGGATGAGAGGGGCAGTCTGGGCCCCGCTCCGCCGACACCTACACAGCTGACTGCTCCTCAGGCTCGGCGTTCTCGGCCAGGTGCAACTTCTGTCTGTGCCAGTCAAGGCGTGTGACGCTTTGGACCCCAGGCCTTCCTCCCACCGCGGTCTTCCCTTCCTGCCCAGGCTTCGTTTCCCTAGCTGTGTCCTTTCTGGGGCCGTTCGTGGTCTGAGGTCGCAGTCCCCGCCTGTGCCCTTCTTGCTAGGTCACCTACTCCTCTCTTTTCACTCAGATCCTGCAGGTCAAACGAGCTGGTGGGCCCGTGAGGCAGACTGGGGGTGTGTGTGCGCGCACACTATTTCTGACTGAGGACTAGATAGTAGTCTAAATTAGTAAAAATAATTGTTCAGTGCTGAAAGCGAGAAGGACATCAGACAAGCTTTGCCATGGATTGGCATCAGATAAAGTACTTGCAAAGATTTTGATCAGTAGGTAAAACATATTCCCTGCGACCTTCTTTCTCCTACTATTTGGGAAAATCTTTCTACATTCCTTTCTCTGGGTGGGGGCAGTGCGTAGCTAATTCTTTTTTTTGTCCTTTTTGAGACCGCACCACGCTCAGCCAGTGAGCATTGTGAGCGCACCGGTCATCCCTATATAGGATCCGAACCCGCGGGGGGGGGGGGGGGGGGCCTCCGGCGCCCCCCCCCCCCCCCCCCCCCCCCGG